GGTTAACCCATACTACAGAAATAGGAGTAAACCCCTTGAGAGTCGCACAACAGTAACTGGCTATTTTTCTGCTCACACAGACACAATGAACATTCAAGAATATTTTGCAAGAATTTCTTACAATGAGTCCTGTAAGGATGCAGACTTGCAAACCTTAACAGTCATCTTCCAGCATCACATCCGAGCCATTCCTTTCGAAAACCTCAGCATGCATTGCGGGGAGCCCATTGAACTGGATTTGCAAGCTACTTACAATAAGATTGTGAGAAAGAATCGTGGTGGGTGGTGCCTGGAAACCAACCACCTTTTATTTTGGGCCTTGCAAGAATTAGGGTATGATGTCTGTATTCTTGGAGGAAATAGTTATGAACCAGCAGAGAAGACATACACTGCTGAGATGAATCATATCCTACTGAAGGTGGTGATCAAGGGAAATCCCTACATCGTAGATGCCGGTTTTGGTGGTGCCTACCAGATGTGGCAGCCACTGATGCTGATTTCTGGGAAGGATCAACCCCAGACCCCTGGCATCTTCCGCTTCACGGAAGACAACGGCAACTGGTACTTTGAGAAAGTGAAAAGGAAGCATTATATTCCTGAGCAAAGTGTCCCTTTCACTGATACTCCATATGCGGGGAATATCAGAAAAATATATACATTCACTCTCAAGCCACGACATATAAACGACTTTCAGGAACTAAACACGTACCTACAAGTGTCTCCAGACAACATACTTCAGAAGAAATCAATCTGCACTCTCCAGACCACTGAAGGGGTTTATGGCTTAGTTGGATGGACCTTCACTGAGATGAAGTATAACTACACAGAGGACATGGACCTGATGCAGATCACGACTCTTACAGATGAAGAGGTTGAGAAGACGCTGAAAGACAAATTCAGTATGGTGCTGGAGAACAAACTTGTGCCTGTAAACGTTCGTGACTTGCCACCGAATTTAGTGGATACGATGTAATTCTAGCACTATGCTAGCGTCTTTAAATATCCACTATAAAAATGAATAATGTTAATTGACTAATGACTAATGAATAATGTTAATCTGATTCTAAAGTTGAGCTGGTCAGATAATCACAAAGCCTGGTAAATTCAAGTACATCACTAATTAACTACATATACTGTATTTTTTTTTGAGCTTCTCCTTCTTTAGAAACTGACACATCTTACTACCTCTGATTTGCTCGTATGGAAATTGCTTTTTGACTCCATAACATTTTGTTCCACCTCTCTGGATCTCATTTTATTTCAGATATATTTTTGTGGCAAAGAAGACAAAAACGGTACAGATGGAAAAGTTGTCTTGCCATTTCACACAAAAGACCACTAACCTTTTTAGGTATTATTTCCAATCTTTTCAACAGAGTTTTACAAATTAGTCACTTCCTTTAACAGTCTGAAATAGAAAGTTGAGATGAATTTAGCTTTCAAAGACCTCAAAAGAAAAGGAAAGATTAAGACTTTCTCAAAATAAGCCACTATTAGGTGCTGATTAGCTTATGAAGAAATAAGGCAAAAGACTGGAGTCCTATTCCCCTACCAGAAATCGACTTAAAGTGAGTTATTTATTCAAGGGCCCTTAAAAAAATCCCAAAAGCCCTCTAATTTTGAGTGCTCAATTTCTCTGAGTCTGATTTTTCCATGTCTGTGAAATGGAAACAAAGTCAATAGAAGCTGAGAAGATTTGACACTTCTTAAAAATCAGGCTTTTGGTATCAAAAATGGAAACAATCAAGGTAGGATCAACCTTTGCAAATTGTAGTCTAAACTCCTGGGGCCCAAGCCTCCTGCAATGTCAAGCAGGCATGATGGCATTATAGATAAAACTCTTCACATTTATTATAAGCAGCATCCTATCGAAAAAAGCTACTGTAAAAAAGTAATACTGCAGATGCAAAAGAAAGCGTCAGGAAGTTAAGCTGTGTCACCAGTGTGGTTTCACAGCATGTGACGTGTAACACAACACTTGATGATGCCTGTGGCATCAGGATGTGTACAGGCTGCGTCATGAAAGAGGTGACAGAAGAGCATCAGTCCTCAGCCATGCGGAAAACTGGGTCACTTGTGTTAGTCAACCACAGGCTCATGGGGCACCTGGTTTGATTAAAACTTGTGCTTTCCCAGATGCAGCCTAATAGCTCTTTGCCTTCTCAAAAGTGGCCTCCAACTCCTTCCCTCTGTCAAACAAAGAGAACGGTCTCACAGGGAGAGAATTAGATAAGTAGCCCCACAACATTCTGCAGATGCAGAAGGCCCAAGAGAGGAACTGCATTACTTTGTTCTCACACACAACACTGTGCAAAGAGATAGTTGTAATGGTATTTGTTAGAGGTGGTAACTCCAAAATAACCACCTGCTGCAGTTGAAGCTTTGAAGAGATCAAAAAAGTCCCTTTGAGAGCAAAGAAGGGTCATTTTGTGCATCCGCAGAGCGTGGGAACATGCAGCCTGCGACACCTTGGTAATTCAGTGCACCCACAAGGAAGCAGATGAATATCCTCCACTGCAAAGTGCTGGCTTGCAAAATAACAATAATTTTAAAAAGTTACAGAGCCATTTGCAACTATCTACTGCAATTATTCCACATGGAAAACAAGTTCAGTCTGGTCTTAACCAGTGGAAAACATAAACATCTAGTAATAGAGAAGAAACAAAGTTTAATTTGCTCATGGATCAACGAAGTCCAAAAATGTGCATTCATTTAGGGTGGACTCTGCCCTTTCATGGTATATAAGATCCAGGAGTGAGGATCAGCAGAGCTTACAGAGGAAGACAGCCCTCACAGTCTGTATCCACTCCTGGCTTTACTGACTGCTGGTGCCCAAAAACCCAACCCACAAGGTGAATACAGCAATAAATACATAAGCCTATCTTAAGAGGTAAGTTTATTTTCTTAAAAACTCCAAAAACCCCCACATGGTTACTTTATGATGTTAAAGGACCTGGGCAACATAAGCAAATTTCTCTTTAGGGAAAGTGTTATAAAAATGTATGGACATAGAGCTAAAAATATCTCCTGCTAAACTTGGGCTCTTAAAGAGGACAAAATAGTGATACTGCAATTTTAATTCTTCCCTCTTCCGCTCTTGAGGAGGAGATTCACTTCAGTGTGAGAGATGCTTTTGTTTAGATACAAGAGTAGATATAAATTTAGAACTACAACCTCCTCTTGGAAGCTACTCTTTTAGATTTTTAGTTTTATATAAAACATTGTAAATGCGAAGGAAGTAAAAGAGAAATCTAATAATCGACAGATTCTGCTCTGTGGGAATAAAATTACAGTCCTTTAAAAACAACCTAAAAAAAAAAGAAACTACAAACTGTGGTTTCTGTACCCCAGAAAGTCCATATGCTGACGATACAGGCAGACAGATAACGTTTTAGCAGTGGAAATGCTAATAGTGCGTATAGTCCTGGTAAGGAATATTTTTGTATGAGCACTCTCATTTGCACATTTAGAAATAGTTCTTCAAAGTCCTTCTGCTGATGTTTTTCTCTGCATAAATCATAGCCACATCCATGGGACTACCTTTTCCGTATCCAGCTTTTCATTTGATCTTCTCACAATTCAAAAGAACTTTCATCAGTAGCTTTCATCTCCTGCAGCCAAGATCTAATGGTGATCAATCATATTATGGAGCTGCGGAGAGAAATTACAAATGACATAACCTCGAGAACCAGCTTTATGCTGGTGTGAGCTATTTATCATTCAGAATTTTGACTGGGTAGGATTGGATAGACTTGGATTCTGCAAATCAAAAGAAAAAAGTGCCAGCAGTCTTATGTTCTACTTAACAAATACTACATTGAGAATATCCTCCAACAATACACTTAAATATCACTGGAAGCTAAATTCCCTTCTGTAGAGGATAACATGCGGTTTTTCACAGGGCTCTCCATTCACTTTGGACAGCTGCTTCTATACCATGCATATGCACATCATGAATCTGTCACTGAAAATCATCTTGAGAAATTCTAGTTTGCAGTAAACATTCAACGGTTCACCGCTGAATTTATCTGAATACAATAGTCTTCCTGAGTCGCTCATATTAAACCTCAGCTTACTGTAAGCACAAAAGATTTCCAAGTAGCTTTGTGGTCTGTCAGGAAGCTAAATATTTGCAGTAACTCCAGGCTGCTGAAATGTTTAGCACTTTCTTTGCAAAGGTACAAGCCTTCAAATCATTTTGTGCCCAGCTCCAGATCCAAGCGGACGATCTACAGCACATTATGCCTGTTTTCAGGGCATGGTGGGGAATGGAGATGTGCTCTTTGACTTTTAGGTCACTTGCCTCCATTCAGATTTATTATTCCAACACCAAACTGAGTGTGTGCGACACTCAGCAGAGAAGAGACTCAGTGGTCTGAGACTCTTGCAAAGGTCGGAGACTGTTTTTCAGTTACAATTATCTGAATAAAACTTGACACATTCCAAAATGTGCAGGGAGTACCATTTTCACTTTTTGTAAGTGGTGCAAGAGTGAGGTGTACCAAACGAGCAGTTCGTTTACCATTACATAGCTCAGTGGCAGACTTATGAAAAGAACATGTGAATCCTGGCTCAAATTATCCTCCCTCCAAGTAGCAGATGACACCGCTTCCCCCACTGACATTTCTTTCATTGAACAGTGGCTTTAGACCGGTTTTCATGAACCCTCCTCAACACTCCCTGGCATGAGCTTACATTTCTTCTTAACCCCACTGGTACAGTGCAAATACAACAAATCCCTGGTTCACAGCCACCACATATCAAGCTGGAATTGCATCAGCTCTGCCCCGTAGGGATGACTCTTAAGGCAAAGAGCAAACCCTCATGTGCACTGCTTTTCTTTGCTCGGGGAACCATTTCATATGAATACTTGTTACCTTTAAAAACCTCTCAGATGAGGTTCACTTCACTGGCAGCAGCTTGGGCAGTTTTCCACAGCATCATAAATCATTGATGTAAAGAAACAAAACCAAAATGCAATTCCTTCCTTTACAGGTGACATGAACCTTGAAGAGTATTTTACGAGAACTGGCTATAAAGGTTCCCTTGAAAAACAAGATCTGGAAACCTTGACCGATATATTCCAGCACCACATCCGTGCTGTTCCCTTCGAAAACCTCAGCATCCATTGTGGGGAGAAAATTACGTTGGAGTTGGAGCATGTTTATAACAAAATCGTGCGGAAGAAGCGGGGTGGGTGGTGCATGGAGAACAACCAGCTCTTGGGATGGGTCCTGAAGCGCCTGGGTTACGACGCCAGCTTTCTGGGAGCCTACGTGTTCAATCCACAGCAAAATGCGTACGCCAACCTCATGACCCACCTCCTTGTAAAGGTGGTTATCGATGGCAAAGTCTATATTGTTGACGGAGGCTTTGGCGTATCCTATCAGATGTGGCAACCGATGGAGCTTGTGTCAGGGAAAGACCAGCCCCAGGCTCCCGGTGTCTTTCGCTTCACAGAAATAAATGCCATCTGGTACCTCGAGAAACTAAGACGGAAACAATATGTCCCCAATCAAAATTTCTCTAATTCTGATCTCCTGGAGAAAAAAGAGTGTCGGAAGGTTTATATGTTCAGCCTGGAGCCACGGACAGTGGAAGATTTCTATTACCAGTGCACGTACCTTCAGACGTCTCCAGATTCCCTCTTCACAAAGAAGTCCATCTGTGCCCTCCAGACCACCGACGGTTTTCATGCGCTAATTGGGTGGACACTCACCAAGACCACGTACAACTACAAGGAAAATACGGATCTGGTAGAATTTGTAACTCTCGAAGATGAAGAGGTGGAAAAGACACTCAAAGAGAACTTCAACATAACCCTAGATAAAAAACTTGTCCCAATTAACATCAAAGGAATTTATACCATCTAGATGGCCAGAAAAACCTACAGTAATGCTACGTATCTGCAGTAGCTTCCACTGCCTGCGCAATCACTACTGTAAGATTATGTGATTCTTTTGCAGGAGATTGAAGGAAAAACACATTAATACCAGATTACAGTGAATTTCATTCTCGGAAAAGTCAAGAATTTAAGACTCTTCTCTCGGGTAGATAGAATTATTTGCTGTGAGATGACTGCAATTCAATATTTGGCACAAATGTAGGTTCTGATTTGAATCTGGTTATAAACTTGGATAATAAAGTTGTCTGGGGAATTCTGGAGTCCCTACAGCACATAAATAGGAGTATGGATTATTAATCGTGATATGCTGCCAACACATTTTCTGTGGTTATTATAGGGAGAAAATGCATCTGCAAGCATTTAAACATTGAAGTACACATTTAAAACTTGAAGATATAACCCCTTGCAACTCATCTCATTTCTCTACCTTTAATATAAGTAAAACAATGTCTTTGAAAGAAGCATTAGAAGGCATAAATCCTTTCACTGTCAGAAAAATGTCGTACAAAATGAAAAGTATTGTCAGGTGCTTCCCTCTTGCCATTGCTGCAGTTAACTGCCCAATGTAATTTTTGGTATGTATGTTTTTATGGTGATGCAAATTGTATATATCACAGCATTACTGTGGCCGATGGTCTCTGAGGACATACCTACAAGCTTCGCTTCTAATACATAATCATCCTATAAAGTGTGAATAGTGCTTAAAGATCACAGCTGGCTTAGATTTACTTCTATCTCCGAAAGGGTAGAAATTTTGGATTTTTAGCATTGAAAGTTACTTGTGTTGCAAAGGTAGAACCATTAAGCTGACCCCACTATACCCTTAATTTTGCCCTCTTTGTGTACAGCAAATATGGGGGTCCATAAGGTTCAGTGAGTTCATTCATCTGAAGTGAAAAAAAAAATGAAGAAGCCAATCAAATCTAAAGGAATCCCCTTCTTCAGAATTATTTCACAATCACACTTCCCGTTTTTTAAATATTTTTTTTAAAACAAGGAAACCACTGAGAAAGAGGAAGTATTCTCAAATGCATTAAAAAAACAGTACTGAAAAACACCCTTTCTCCCTAAACTATGAGAATCCTGAGTATAGGTTAAATGTTGATTCCTCCCACTGCCAGTGCATCTTTTTGCTCAAACACATCATATGATTATAAATCTCACAAATGCTGCTTAATGTATACCTGAAAATAAATAAAATAAAGACAAAAAGCAACACTGTAAATACAATCTCCCCCCTCCCAGCTGCATGACTCCTGCACACCCCATTTGTGAAGTAAATGAGGTCTGTTCAATCACGTCATTGATGTGCCGGCCACCCCACCACAAACTTTTTGAGCCAAAACAGCCAATATGAACAAATTTGTCAGCAGTGCTGGAGATGGTAAGTTCCTACAGGTTTCTGGAAAAAGAGCTCGTAGGCTGAGGAAGAATAAGGTCACTGAGAAGGGGGAGGAGGACCAGTGGTCACCTCCCCTACTGGTCCCAGCAGCTCTGTGCTGGCCACAGCATGTGGTGGCTCTCCCCTGCTGACCACCCGTGGTGGCAGCTGATGGACTGGGTGCACGCGATGGCCTGGGATGAGGAACCAAGGGACACCGAGAGATCTAGGAGGTAGGAAGGTTTTCTATAATTAATGGAACTTAAGGACTGTTTTCTCTAATTTTTCCTCATATTATTCTCTCATACTAAGGTCTCATTAAGATTTTTTACCCCTTTCTAGATGATTGATCAAACCAAGGTATTCCCCATGACTGTTACAAGGGAAGGTTACAAGCTTCGAAACACTCACCATGTTCATTCTACCTGACAGAAACTCCCAGCTGCATTCACCCAGGTCACAAACTGTATTTCTCAATGCAATGAACTACAGTTTTCTGGTGCTGCTGCCTTGAGGACAGCCATTAACAGGCTTGTTATTTTGCCTCCATTCTTCTCCAGAGATGTTCCTGCTCTTGCTCCCGGGTAATTACTCAGGTGATGGTGTGCAAGGGCTTCTTGGGCAAGTCTGCAGACTCATGTTGGCATTTTAAACTGTGCTTGCAATGACAGCACTCAACCCAGATACCTCTTCTACTATTCAGTCCTTACTAAAGATCTACAGGGCTGCCAATAACTGAAGCTTCAACCTTCTGGCTGCCTCTGTTGATAACCACTCTCTGAGGTGCATTTTTCCTCATTTTAACAATTATAACCAGGTTCTCACTGTGCAACATCAGATCACATAAAGAAATGTCAACACGTACACCTGAGGAACAGTTTCACAGTTTACTAAAGCTCCCCAAAAGCTGATGAAAGCAGGTTATTGAGGTATGAATGCCAGACCTAAACTGTCTCAAAGGCTTAAGATGAGAATGGTGTAAAATCAAAGAAAACCAAACTAAACCAGAGGCCTCATGCTGGGATTCCATTAAAAAGGCATTACTGGAGAAGGCTGTGCTGGTTTTGGCTGGGATAGAGTTATTTTTTTTTCATAGTAGCCGGTATGGGGAGCTGTGTTTGGGATTTGTGCTGAAATCAGTTTTGATAATTCCAGGATGTTTTCCTTACTGCTGGGCAGGGCTCACACCGAGCCAAGGCATTTTCTGCTCCTTAGCCCACCCCACCAGCGAGGAGGCTGGGGGGGGCACAAGCAGATGGGAGGGGACACAGCTGGGACCACAGACCGCAACTGACGCAAGAGATGTTCCACACCACATGACGTCATGCTCAGCGCATAAAGCTGGGGAAGAAGAAGAAGGAGGTGGGGACACTTGGAGGGATGGTGTTTGTCCTCCCAAGTCAGTTACACATGATGGGGCCCAGCTTTCCTGGAGGTGGCTGAACAGCTGCCTGCTGGTGGGACGTGGTGAAGGAATTCCTTGTTTTGCTTTGCTTGCGTGTGTGGTTAAACCATGACAAAGGCAGATGCTCTCCCAGACTCAAAAGAAAAGAAACAACCAAGTCAGCTCTCAGAGACACTTGCATTCACATGCAGAAAAAAAACCATGGCATGTATGACATCCTTCACTGCCATTATGCTTTGTTCTGAGAAAGGCTTAGTAAGAGCTTAAGCTTGACTGTTGTTGAAACGAAGCAGAACAAACTCTTACAACCCCCACCCAGGACTTGTCTTATTCCAAATACAATTTAAAAGCATGTTATTCCAATTAACAGAAGGACAAGACAATTTATTTTTAAGTCTGAATGCTGGATTAAGCCCCAGAATCCCAGCCCAGCTACCCATTACTCATGCAATGCCCAGTGACAGCCACCCGCGACAGCGGAACTGTGTAATGGAGTGTCTTAGTAGAAAACAAGACACATAACAGAAGAAACACAGTTCAAACTCCATGAACATCCTACCCCCTCCCCAGAGAATCAAAGTTTAATCAGCTCATGCATTACTAAAGGGAGGACACAGGGTGGCTCATTTCAGCTGGACTCTGGTCCTGGACTTTTTGAGACCTAGCACTAAGCAGAATAAAAGTAACAAAACAAGAAACATCAGCAAAAAAGATTAAATCATTCAATACTTACATGTTTCCAACATCACCAGTTATTACAGAAGCAAACACTGTTGTTCTGTCAAAGGGAGGGACAAAACTTCACCTGACAAGAGACTTGCTTAAACTTAACACCGTGAGCTGTCAGGGAGCACGAACTCCAACACATACTTTGCTTTGTTCGCTTTAATAGGTACCTTAGTGTAACACGTACAAACACTGCTGGGTGTCTGATAACTCTTTACCCATTAAACTTTGCAAGTAGCCATTTTCCTTAACAGAAATGCTTACTGCCTATTCCAACTCGCCTTTGTTCTCAAATAGGAAACGCTTTTCACTTAGAAACACAACCATGTGGGAAAATTCTACAGCTGAGGAAAGTTGCAGATGAAAATGCATTGGCATTTGAGACTGTGTCGGAGCCAAGAAAGCTTGAATTAATGTAGGTTGGCATTACGAATATTTCACTGCTACGCTTACATCTCTGTCAAGAGCAGTTCAAGCACAGATTTTATACAGCAGAATGCTTCTACCCTGGATAGGAAGCTAGAGGCATACTTATAATACATACATTATATACAAATATATATGTATTTATAAGGTTGGAAATATAGATGAGTATCTCAGATCATCCCATCATAAAATGCCTGCTTGTAACTTTGGGCACTTTAAGTACATTAAAAAAATCACATAGCGCTGATTTTTAGTTTTATCTTGCTCATAATGATGCACTATGACTGGTGCTTTAAAAGGTCATGAATAAGAGACTGTGCTAAAATTTAGTAGTTGGTCTTACTGTAGCATTTCAATAGCTCACCCAGCCACCAGCTAAATGTGAACATCATAGCACCCAGATTTAAAGACAATAAACCAAAATCTAAACTTTCTTCATTTTTAGAAACAGAGGAACATTCTTCCACACTCCCGAATTACAAAATCATGGATTTTCTAGGAAGCTGTTTAGCGTTCACTCACTCTCTTACGTACACACCACGGCACTCATATTTCCAGCCATCCCACAGGAAAAGACATGAAATTAAGGACCAACGTACAGGAGACTCCCCTTTAACTGTGCAAAATTCCACCCCGTCCATTTGACTGAACAGAACTCTGCAATGCAACAGAGTTCCCTGAGCAGAGCCTTGGCTTCACCTGAAATTCCTCTGACCCTCTAATTCTTCTCAAAATTACCCAAAAGCTCCTGTACACGACACCACTGGCACCTTCTCCAATCCACCATCTCTCAGGGTGGGCAACTGCAGTGACATTTCCTGGTTGCTGGTGGTTCAGTGCAACGCATCTTCCCCTCTCAGCTATCCAGCAGCACAGCTATGCAGAAATTCTCTCTCCATTGCAGAAATGTGTTCAGATAGAGGGGAATCATTTTCCTACTAACGAGCAGGAAAGAATAATGGGATATATTCAGAGTTTTTCTAGTGATGACCAACAATAAATCATTTCTTAGCTCAGGTCACATCTTCCATGGGAAGAAAAACGTCTTGCCATCATTAACTTCTTTTCAGCTAGCAATAATATATGATCAGGTTTTAAGTAATTGAACCAGCAGCATTTAATTAGCTCTGAAAAACTATCTCAGATCATGCATCACAGACTTTCCTCCCGTATGAGGTCCTCTTACTAGGTTAAAAGTGTATTTCTCTTCCCATGTGTGATCCATCTTGAATATCTAATGAGGTGCTCTTGATATATGGATTATAGCTCGTATATCACACACAAAATACAGCAGACACACAGTCTTTTTCTTTACATAATTGAGTTTCCTGTCTTGCTTCACTGAGTTGTTAAAAAAAGACCAAAAAAACCCCCAAACCTCTCGTGTCCGTGACACAGTGGCCACTACTTGCTTCAATTTAACAAATTCCTCTTTCTCCAGAGTCAGCATTAAGGCTAAGTAACTTAGTCATGTCATGGGGGAAATTAAGTAATAGAAAGAACTATTTCTTGTTAAAAGCCAAAATACAGAGAACTGTTATGATTTTAGACAAGACCACGCTGACATTTTTCAACAGGCCCAGAGGACTGACTGTCCAAAACCATGATGTTGCTGTCCTAACATTACTTCAGATGGCTTCATTGTTCACTAAACAGAAGAAGAGAAGTCAACGGATATTTGGAGACACCCATGGCCAGCAAAAAATAGGATCCCTTCTTATATCAGAGTGTATCAAGCATCAATTTTACACTAAATTAGCTAAACCACAATCATTAACCACAAAAAACCAGTTTTTATTAAGCTTTCAGTATGTTTCTCAGTCGTTATTATTCTTTCATGACAAGACTGGGATAATTACAATATTGGATTATTATTTTTTTTTGCTGAAAAAGAGGAAAGATTATCAAACTTCTTCTGGAAGATAGAAATTAAGATTCACAATCTGTTCAAGTGTCAAACTGTAAACATTGCCCAGTATTTGGCTTGCTCTATAAAAAAAAAAATACTACAAATCCCTCCATTTTTAAATATGCTTTATATAAAATAAAACTCAACAAGATGGATTTTATATCTCTGCTCCTTGCCCATCTTATTTTTAGCACAGTAAAAAAAAAAAAGACATATTTCTGCTGATTTTTTTTTCAGTTTGAAGACAGAAAAGGGTTTCATTTTCGAAATAAAAAAAGCAGTGAAAGCTGAATTGCTTTACTGGATTGGACACGCTCGTCTTTACTCCAGATACTTCTTTCAGATGCTATCTCAAGTTGTAAATACTGTTGCTCTTGACTGCATGTGACACTTGATTTCGTTATGCACAACATTTAAAAAGACGGATGGGATTATGCTCCACACATTAAAAAACTGCTGAGAGGAAAGGATGTATGACATCCATTCTACACACAACCACTTCGAAAAGTGTCTGTCATGTGGATGGTGGAAATTTCAACGAGAACAGACTGGGATTTACAAAGCCTTTATGTTAAATAGCAAAAACTCCAAACCATCTCCAGTTCGTGATACTATATTTGGTAGGTAACATTTCTCTTAGCTCCAGTTGTGCGGTTGACATTAATCCTGAGGTTTTAAGAATTTTTTCTTAGCTTTCTTGCTAGGTCTTGTGTTACTATTCCCATCTTCATCTTCATCCTCATCCTGGAGTACACGCTGGTCTCTCTTTCTCAGGAATTTCTTTCCTATTGTTCCCACTAATGTTTCATATCTGTAATGATAATTAAAAAATTACAGCTTTTACTAAAATCAGGGAAAATTTCAATGGAAGAAATAATAAATCTAAAAAGCAATTTAAGTGGTGTAAGAAATCTGGTCATCAGAAGCTTATGAAGCACAAATACTAAATGATCACTTATGCCATTATTATTAATTCCGACAGTTTGGAGTTGTTAGCAACGTGGAACAAGGAGGGAATTAGCAAGGAGTGTCTGTATATCAAAGGGCAGAAAAGCCCTGTAAGATATTTTACCCCCAAAAGTGATGGAGATTCCACCAAGAATACACACCAGAACTGGAAAAACAGTCCTGTAAAGTACCATATGTCTTGTGAGTGAGTTTTTTTTTAATTTTGTTTGTTTGCTTTTGTGTTTCTTCTCCCACACACAATGCAGTAACACATCATATTCCTAGCTAATATTGATTATGTCATAAAATATAACTTGCCTTCTGGCCATTTCTTCATCTGACACATCAGCCTCCATTTTATCATCCACTTCAATTTCTTTTTCCTTGCCCTTAGAGTTCATTTGGATCATTAACTTCTGAAAACAAAGTAAGGAATAGCTTAAACACATAACTCTGACACAATGACAACTATGCCAAAATTCACTGGTAGGAGAAACTCATAAACGGGAAGAATCGAATTTAATAATTATTTGCTCTTCCCTGTTAGGCTAGAGCATACTGTTACAAAAACTCATGAAGAAAAGGCTGCTAAGCTGAGCTTAGAGTTTGCCTTTGGGAAAAGACACAACACAGAGATGCAGTTTTCAATGAATTGTACTATTCAAACATCCTCAAGGGCACACCAGGTGTCTTCAGGTGATCAGAGAATTAGATAGAATCACAGAATGGCCTGGGCTGGAAGGGACCTTAGAGATCATTTTAATCCAGCCTCCCTGTCACCAGGGACGCCACCTCTTGACTAGATCAGGCAACACACGGGGACCAAATGGGACCCGTGACCTTGGCGTTGTTAGCACCACGATCAACTGACTGAGCTAACTGGCCCCCTGATCATAATTAACTGGAACAGGTTGCCCGGGGCAGTTTTGGATGCCCCCTGCTTTGAGCAACCTGGTCTAGTGGGAAGTGTCCCTGCCCATGGCAGGGGGGTTGGAACTAGATGATCTTGAAGGTCCCTTCCAACCCAAACCATTCTGTGATTCTAATTTTTCATTGCAATTTTAGCACATTGTCCTTGAAATGGTTTTGTTAAGAAGGAAAAGTACTTGCAAGGGTTTACAATAAACTACTAGTAAAAACCATGAAGCAATAATATGCCACATCACAGTGAGAGTAAGTTCAAAAATCACTAAAAGAATTCCCCAGTAAATCACTTTGCATAGCCTTTTTGCACACCTTGTAGTCTTTCACGCCTTCATCCTCTTGCTTCAGTTCAGTGGTAGCATTTTTATTGCTACCTCAGTCTAGTTCTATCAGCATAAAACATTCCAGAAAGAAATCAAAGACCCTCTTGCCCAGAATTTTTACTTTGGAACAGGAAGCCTTTACTTATACAAGAAGCAAGTGTTGAATAAGCAGAGTTGAATGTTTGTAGGACTGGACTCTAAATTAAATGGCAGGAGGAAAAGTGAGCTATTGTTTTGGTGAGCAGCATGTGGGACAGTTTGCTCACTTCAGGGAGGGAAAATCTGCGGGAGTCATGCATCAACACAAGGAGATTAAAGCTTCTATTTACCAGATGCTGCACTGATCAACATTTTGGTTTGAATCATGGACTTTCTGTACACGGGAGGATTTATGGAAGGTGCTGCAAAGGCCAAACAGCATGCAGTGTGAACACTCAAATCCCCATCGCCAAAGGGCTTAGATCCTAATGCGAGAGCACATCAAAACAGAACATTTAAACAGTACCTCAACTTCTGGATTGAATCCTTTGAAGGACATTCTGCCATAAAGTAGATCCTCACATTGCATAAAGCTCCTCTCTTCTATTATAAAGCTCCTGCATGAAACCCCAAACCCAGCATTTTGTCAAATTGTGTGCTTTAACATACCAAATTAAACAAATGCAAAAGGCATTTTGCTGTCTTCTCTCCCCCCAATAAACAAAACCACAGTGTATTTTAAACCATCAACTACTTTCTGAAGCTTAATTGCTCTGATAAATCTCTCAATACAAGACGCTTGGAGTGCAAAGGAATACTTTTTGCCAGTAAAGCTGTGCCAGTTCCACAAGCAAAATTAACTCTCCTGACAAAAAGCACCCTTTGCTGGTATAATTCCACCTACATTAATGCTTTTGCCAGAATAAAAATACCACATAAATATCACTCTCCAGGTGGCATTACTACACCAGCAAAAGCTTCTAATTAATTTTTCATTGTGATGCTAGACCTGACATTAGTTGAGTCTGTCAGGATATAAAACACTGTAATTCTCTGTTCAGAAGAGAAAGATTTTCCCTTTCTCCCTCATTTTTCCTCTTTTAATGAGCATGGAGCGAGAAAAGAAACATGACCCTGAGGCGTTCGTAATACACGTTAGATAAAAGTACTTCCGTGAATTGTTCCATCCTTCTTTTCCTCACACACATATGCACCTCTTCGCTCATCCTCTTCATCTCCCATGTAAAATAAACTCCTACAATCATAGGAAGTTGGGCTGAAGAGATCAAGCTCCCTTTCTTCCCTCAAGGCAGGATCAGTTAAACATGTACCATGAACAGCAGAGGTCCATCTAACCTGTCCTCAAAAGACTTTCCATGATGAAGAATCCAGTGTCTCTTCAGGCAATATATTCCAGTGCTTCAATAGCCTTACTGTTAGAAAAATTCTCCCAATGTCCAACTTGAACCTTCCTTGCTGCAACTGAAGCCCAAATATCTCTTTGTCCTATCCACTAACAGTAATAGAAAAGCATTTATCAATGACCTTATTCAACTACAGTTAATTCCTTGGATCCCAGCTTCTTAAAAATTATATGTGCTCTCCCTCAACAGAATTTTTGTCCTCTTTTGAAAGGACAAAAATCAAGCAAGTTTAAAAGTAGCTCTCTTGCTATTTAAAGCACCTTTCTAAATAGCAGGATCCTTATTAGCTAAGCCTTCCTTTATTTTTACCATTCTCTCTCCTATTTCAAAAACAGGATTTGAAGTGAGCTGGACTCGAGAAGGCAGAACTGTTCTGAATGGACCTAACCGTGTGATCAGGGCTGAATTACTTAACACAGGGTTTCAAACTTCTTTTTTGAAACGAAGGGGAAAAGCAGTAATGAATGAATTGGTCTCCGCCTGAAAGAAACTAATTACATGCATCTAGAACAATGTGTGAGTGAAAGAAAACAACCCATAGAAGAAATGAAAGTAGGTCAAACTGCACTAGGCAACCTTGAGAACGTCCCTGAAAGTAAGTAATAAAAAATCCTGTTATACTCATCTGGCACTATTTCTGCTTCTGTTAATTTGTTATTAACAATACTTTTTTTTAAAGGAAAAAACATGTATATTCTGTTTCCACTCCACAACAATCCAATGACTATAAGAAGTACAAAACGGTGCAGACTTACTCTTTCTCCTTCAGATCCGGTAAATCAAGATACCAGTGTTCTTCACTAATTATCTTCTTTTCTTCCTCTTCTAGTTGTTTTTTAGTTTGTGAATCCAAACCCCTTTGCATGAACTAAAAAGAAACACACAAAAACACAGCTTCAGTTTTTTGCATCATGAATCTGTTGTGAACATGCAGTAATTACATGACAAAAATTATGCATTACACAATATTTAGCAGTCGATAAAAAGTAAAATGCTTTTTGTGATTTTTCTCTGAGTTTGGTCAGGGCAATGCGAAAGTCCAGTCAGCCACATCTGTACTTACACACAAAGAAACAGACATTTCCTTGTTAGTTTTGATGATCTGAGTCGCTATAATACTGTAACTTTGCTAAGATTCTTCTAATGTTTCAACAAAGGCTAGACAGAACATAATGGAGTTAAAATTACTACTGCATATTGGAAACCGTCCATACAAACAGCACTGGAACTCAGAGCTAGAGGTAGGTCATACCAGGTCGACCATTTTTTGAAGCATCTAGACTTTCAACCATTCTCTTCTTTTCTCAGATTTAATTTAGTGAACTCGTTTGTGTTTGTAGCTCTGAAAGCTGGAACCTGCCTTTGGAAGAGGAAAAAAGTAACTGAGGCTACAAAAAGAAATCTTCTATATCCAGCTGTGCTAAAGGAAGATGCCATCAGCTCTTAACTTCCCATTGATGCCCCACCAAAGAACCAACAAAGTCAAGCAGGATGTGTAAGCATTTCTCAACTCGCTGCAGGAGCACTCTGCCAAACTAGATGGGACCAATATAATGTAGTTTAGGGTAAGACTGCTATTTCTGCCTAACGCGAGGACATTCCTGTAAATTCCTTCGTTGGTGATAACCTGTGGTAGAGGATGGGGACAGGCAGATGGGAACAGTGACATCTCTCACAGCGGGGAGTAAAAGAGGACATCAGGCACAGTCTACAAAAAACTGCTGAAAGCGCACAACTACAGACCCAAGATATGTGAAACATCCCTTTCGTTTCCATTTGTCTCAAGACTGATGCCAGAACTGTGACAACTTAAGTACCAATGATGTTTACCAAGCATGCTGGAAAGAACAGAACTCTTAACAATTTTATGGTAATAATCATTATACTTTCACATCCCTAGGAGCAGAACCTCCTTGAGGGTCTAGAGAAAGTGTCTGAATAACTGTATCTGTCAGATGTACCCTTATACCTATGTAATTCCCAGCTAGAGGAAGTCTACCAGTACAGTTTATATGCACTCCTGTACAAAAATTGCTTCGTAGCTATCGAAGCCTACCTGTACGTGCAACACTGCAGAGGTCAACTAATTTTACCCCTTTCATTTAAAGCAGCATCATTTTTGTGTTCAGATAAACCTGCAGGCTGACAGGTAATGTGCCAGTGGGGAATATTAAGCTTGGACATAATTTAGGTCCCAGCTAAAATGGGCTTTGCTGGGGATAAAGCCCAAAAAGACATCACAAAACATTTCCCTCCCACAAAAAACCCCTTGCATTACTGAGCTTGTTTAAAATATCTAAGTAATACAGATGTGTAATATGTGTATTATATGCAGCCCACACATCTTTTCAGTCTTTACAAGATGTGCAAGCAAATCAAACTCTGAAGCAAATCCCAGATAGTGCTAGTGTCTCATTTTCCATTTATATTTCTATTTGCACCCATTGTACAAGATTTTTAATGAAAGAAAAATTGACTTTTGTTTTCTGAGTTGATCCAAAATATGTCAAAGCTTTCCAATTAAAATTACAGTATCTTCTTGAGGAAAATAACTGAATCTATCATGTGGAAAACCATATTGCTCAAGGAAATTGGTTAGCCAGTCAGAAATCTAAAAAGGAGAAATTCTGCTACAACCATCCAATTGAATAATCATTGCACATTATGTTTTAAAAATTATGTTCATAAAAATTACTATAGGGATAACTAGATAAAAAATATGTGATCACATTTATCTAAAACGTAAATACACACGGATGAATTAAACACGTATCCATTGTCATAGACACGGAGCATCTAACTCAGTAACTGAGTGGTTATTTGGATTAGCTTCCCAAAGCGATGGGACCTGGATCAAATGGTGTAAAATCTAAAAACGTGAGCCATCCTTGGACATCAAGGGGTAAGCACACATGGCCCAGTACTTGGTGGAAATGGTTTTCACAATGCTACCCTAGACCAAGCAGCACTTCTGTGTGTCACCTCACCCACCCGCTGAATTGTAATAATGCATCTTATCAGTACCTGCGGAGGCAGCTGTTAAAGGATTAATTAAAACATTTGTAAACAAGAATATCTGCAGACGTAAAGTGCTCAATACAAGATCTGTGCATGACCTTTTCAAAACCTACTCATCTCTTCAAAGCTGGTTACTACTGCCCAGACTGTAAACCTGCAAATGTCACAGCAGCACACTGACAAGCTGGTTCTCCAGAGCCTTCCAAGGAAGAAAGTCTAAAAACTGGCTTTTGAAATCTCCAGGGGGTTAATAAACTGGCAAATGAAAGGAAAAGAAATTTTGCTTTAAACGACGTATTACATAAAAATAATGATGCAATCCATTCCATTCCCTCTGTGTGCGTGTTTTGGTCTTTCATAAGTAGCATCTGTCAGTTGGGGTAAATATGCCACTATCTTACTGTAGCCAAGTACACCTTACGTGAAAGACTGAGCTGAAGTAGCCTCCTTTCATCCAGTGTCTGAAATATAGTCCCATAAAAATATGTAG